CCCCAAAACCCCAAAACCCCAAAACCCCATGATTGTAAAATTTCTTAATTATAAAAAAAATGCTTATAATATAAATCAAAATTTATGCAAATAACAAATACGAGGCCACTTTTGGATAATTTAAGTCCATAAGCTGGTCCTCCAATGCAAACAATGCGGCGAAACGCTTCAGGCATAATGGCTGGAGAAAATATGTTTAGAGCTGGAACTGAAAATTGAGTAACTCTCCCTCATGAGAAAGTCATTTAAGACAGACATTTCAATAATAGACTAAGAGAAAACTGGTTGTAACAAACATACAATGAAAGAGATCTAAGAGAGTCTGCACCATAAGCATTAATGCAGGATTTCAATAGCAGAGTACATGGTGAGCCAAGGGATTATTAATAAGATTACTAAGGAGAATTTTCGAGATATAATGATACTTATAGAGATCGAATGCTAGATGGCTTGGATAATCTAAAATCTACTTACAATAGTTATGGAGGAAAAAATGCAAGTTTTGTCAATTAAGTAAGGGACTTAGAAAATTACATGCATTTCAATCGCCCTCCGCCACTTAATCCTTTATCTATGCATGTACCCATTAATTAGTTTAATGGAAGTACTACATTTGCTAGATAAGCAGCCCTTCCTCCTCCAGTTATGTATGGTGGTTATCCTCCCGGAGCTTTTGCTCCACCATTCATGCCCTAATATGTTGATCATGACAGAAGAATGTTGAGAACTCATTTAATTGGATAGAAGCAAACAATAAATGAACTCCAAGAAGAATTAAATGGTGTGAGAAGAGAGGGATAAAGGTTTGAAGACATTATTCATAAAAGCCATCAAGACCTTCATAAGCTTAACGCTCATCATTTCCCTGGAGTTTATGTTGGAGCTGGCCTTGATACAATGGACCCGAGGAAATCTACTGTAAAATGGGGTGATGCTGAAACTGATAAAGCACTAAATAAACTTGCAATATAAGAATAGGAACTTATCAGAGTATTGTCAAAATTACCAGAAAATTCTGAAATGTTCAAAACTAAAAGATCAAAATTAGATGAATTGGTTAGACACAGAACTGAAATAGAGAAAATGATGTATTCAAAAGCAGATTACAAGAATTACTTGCATGAGAAAGTTGTTGATGATTAAAAGAAAGATAACCTTGCTTAATGGCTTAGAAGAGATTTAGAGTTATTCAAGATTGATAGGACTGATGAAGACTTTATAGAAAGAAAATATAGACCATAAAATGGATTCCTAATTTATTGGGACTATTTATTAAATCTCGTTAAAGAATTCAAACAAGTTCAAATAGTCTATGGAATTTATAATAGAGGAATGACCCTATTTGAGCCAAGATTAGTTCCTCTAACTGATACTATCGATACCACTCATCCTAGTTTTTGCTAAGCGATTTTTGCCATAAATCATTTAGTTAGAGACATTGAAGCTCATCCAGATATTTTACTTATTCTCGAAGTTCAAGTACCCGCTTTAAGAAATACTCAACAGACAAAAAAGAGTAACTTGCAAGAGTTAAAAGTTCACACAGGATATTTATTGTCAAGATTTGGGAAGTTAAGAGGTACTGGTGATTATGCTTATGGAGATTAAGAAGAAGAATAGTTTGGATATGATAAAGAAGTTGAGGCGAGCGTATTTTAAACTTATGGATGGACAGTTCTCGATATATTCAATTTTAAGAATGATCTTAAAAGGGGTACTTATAAACTACCAATTTATAAACCACCTACAATTATCAATTTAGATGTGAGAGATATCCCTTAACTTGAGAGAATTAAGGATACAATGATATGGATGAGAGTGGCACATCCTAAAGATGATGAGATTAATGAAGTCAGATGTGAGCCAGCATATTATCATATCTACTATGTACCAGAAGTTCATAACATTGCCCCTAAAGTGCAAATGCATTTGAAGCCAGAAAGAGATCCAGGTTATAAATGTGATGGTATTTAGATTTTCATTCATTGGACAAAGGGTTATGAGCATAAGAGATTCGTAAGAGTTTCCTGTGCTTTGTAAGTCGGCAAAGATATTTTAATTGAAAATAATGGGTAAATGTGTTTCTATGCAACAAAAGGTCTATTTTATCCAAAGCCAAAAGAAAAAGGAATCTTAAAATAAGTATCTCAAGGAAATTTGGCAAACTCTAAATAAGACACTAAGGCTAATACATTAGCTAATTCAAGTGGAGGATTAGCAGGTACTGTTAAATCTGACAAACCAATGACAGCTGCTTAGTATTATCACAACGATGGAGAAAAAACTGTATACTTTAATGAAATGAGGACTTGGTTCAAAGATTTGTATAATCTATTGTGGGATCTTAATTTGAAAGAAAATGTATACTTGATCTTACAATTTTTAGAGAGGAAGGAAGATGCTACTATTGCTCATTCTGTTATTACAAGACAGTCAATTGAAGATGAATGGGATTTAATCGGTTATACTGTACTAATGGTGAATAATCCTGATGGAACAATAAGATATGGCTCTTTTGTATTAGATCTCTATGATGGTCCAATTTATATCGAAGAATTAGATGCTTAGAAAAGGAATGTTTGCTAATTAAAGGTGTAAATTGGAAAGCCAGGAGAAGTTATAGCATATCAAGCGGCACCAACTGGTCTTCCGAAAACTCCTAAATCAGCTCAGTCAATTGCAGATAGTGGTTCTTAAGTTGGTACACCTAAAACTCCAACTACTCCTAAAACTCCATAGTCCAGATCCAGAACAAGAGATGAAAGACCAGTAAAATCAAGAGCTGGTGGAAGAAAATCTTCATAAGCTCCTGAAAAACCAAAATCTAGATCTAGAGGAGAGCCAAAGTCACCTGCAGAGAGAACATTTAAAGGCAAAAGTAGAGATAAAGAGGAATCTAAGAGGCCAGCATCAAAGAAGGGAAAGAAGAAGAAAAAGAAGAAGAAAAAGAAGGGCCCCTCATCAAGAAAATCTTCTGCCTACTCTGACTACGGCGATGAAGATGATGTTGACATATTTGATAAAACATATGAAGCTAATAACTCACTTAGAAATCTAGACCCTGAACAAAGGAAGCTTGATAGGTATTTTATTCCAAATGAGGTTCCATAATTCTCTTCTCAGCCATTCGCCTAAGGTTAGGGTATAGATTTCTATGTTGATGAAATAAGATTCTTACCAGACAATGCAACTGTGACCAAAGTCCAAATGTCTGCTTACACCACTGAACATCAATAAGTGTCAGTATCAGCGGGAGGTTTAGCTGATCTTGAGCTTTCAAATACATTTACTCACTACTATGGTTTTAGATATGAATTTAGAGTTTAGAAATTTCATCCTCAAACAGCTGTAGTTATCACTATTTATACAATCGACAGAACTAATAATCAGGTCAGAACTCTTGGATATTCTTGCATACATTTATTCTTAAACAAGATTACATAATTGCCGTGTGACAACCCAAAAGATAGAGACTTTTTACTTAGAGAAGGCTATTATCAATTGCCTGTCTACATAGAAGATCCTCGCAAACTTCCAGAAATTAGAGCAGAAGCTCTTGATTACCTGGAAAAACTGCCTTGCACATCAATTTTGGTTAGAATTCTTTAAGCTCCAACCGCGCCAAATGGAGCAGTACTATCAGCAAAAACTGTTCCATCAAACTAATGGGCAGAAAAAGGAATAGTTGTTCCAGCACCTAAATATGATTCAGGTCTATATAATACAAGCTTATGCCCAGTTACTGATGTAGAGTTAGAACTTTTCCCTTCTAGAGCTGACAGAGTAGATATGCCTTTAAAAGACACAGCAGAACAGCTTATGCAAGCAATGTCTTCAAGAAGAAGCAGAAATGCAAATACATTGACTGATTGGATTGACATGAAACTATCTGTAGAAAATGACGATGCCCCCTTATTGGACTTGAAATATTTCGCAGCTTATGATCCTCTATTTGGCTTCAAAGTTGCAGTTGATGGCATTCATAATCTACCTAAAAGATAAAATGTGTTTTACGTTGTCATCATGAGTCTTAACCCACCAGCTTCTCTTTATACAGAAAGTTAGATTCCAACTAGTGATGTAAGAAATTCATATTTAAAACTTGCTTATAGGTGAATTTAATATCTACTTATGACTGGGATTCTTCAGTAATTTCATTTAGATTTCAGGATAACTATATGTACTATCAAGATGTTCAACCAGATGCACAAATGTCTGTCGTCTTAGATGTGAGAGCTGTTGAATTCGTGCAAGGAATCCCCAAAGTAGAGCAGGTTGCATGGTCAGCAATCCCTATTTTCTTCGTTCGGTATGCTAATTACTACGTACGTAGTGGAGCGTTTTAAGTACCACTATTCAAAGGACCTGTTGAATATGGTCACCTATCTAATATGTACAACTTCGATGATCCTTGGAACTACCTTGCATAGCGACTTAACGAAAGAAGTATCTAGTTGTGGGATGGAGTATCACTTATTGTAAGAATGCTGGATTCTTAAAGAGAGGGACATTACTCCAGACCGTTTGATTTTGATAGGTTCAATCTAGTATACATCCCAGAGGCCGTATTATCGAAGCTTAATTATGCTTACACTGGAGCTACAGAGTCTAGATTAAGAACAACACCAAGAATTTCAAGTATGGTTCCACCTAATATGGATAGACTTGTATTCCAAGAGGCAATTAATAGAACTTTTACCAATGTAAAAATTACTTTGATTTAATCTTAAATATTTAGCAACTTGGATTATCAAGATTTAAATGAGAAATTTATATAAGAGCAATAAAACAATTCAATGAAAAAAGCTCTTATTAAAAATAGATATAGATGTATAATTTTACTTTCTTAATTTCATAATCTGTTATTGTTCATTATGGGGTTTTGGGGTTTTGGGG